TTCATTTTATATGCTGTTTTACTATTGAAGAATCTTTCTTCAGTATTACTATCTGTCTAATTATGTACAATTCTTTTTCTTTCCATCTCTATCTTCCTCCGTCGTACATATAATGCTGAACAAAGGCCATTTCCTTCCTCTTACTATTTATCTATCTTTTCTTTCTTCTCTCCTTCATTATATTGAAACGTCCCTGAAGAGACTATAGACAGAAATTTAAGGATAATCAGTGCTGCAATCAGTAGACGACGATGGCGATCATCAACATCAGCAAATGTTATTAAATGAATAGTTTATGATGTAACAATTTACAAAAGAAATTTGTTGAATAAGAGATGAAATTCTACTGCCCCTGTAAGCCATCACTTTAATAATATGATTGAAAAGGCCTCACCCTGAGGAGCAAGAATCTGTTTTGAGTAGAATGAGTATATAACACAAGTCGGAAGAAGGTTTAACAAAAGTGGCTTTTACCACTATTGTAATACATGAATCATCCGGAGTCTTTCAAGATCTGAACTGTACCAAAATGTTTTTCGGATGCCAACTTAATTTTAGAGAAATTTTGAAAGAAAAATCTTTTATTCTAAATGTTAACTCGATTTCTATCCACTTTCAAATTAAATTAAACTAAATAGCAAATTGGTAAAGTACATCTGGCCGAAAGTCATACAACTATTGCATAATTGAAAACTCATGTCGATTCTTCAAACTAAGAGCTCAGTTGGAACGATTCAGCTAGAAGGCACACGTCTACCAAACTATGCCTCCGTTAAACCTTTATCATTGTGTTTCGAAGATATATCCGTGTACAGATTTTTCATATCTAAAATGCGTTTGACGGTGCGTTTGCAAAAGAAACACATGCGCGTCTGAAGTTCAGACGCGCTTGTTAGACTCTGAACACGTCCAAAATGAAGTCATCTGGGTGCGTTTGAAGGCGTTTGTGTGTTTGAATGCATCTGTACGCTTTTAGAGAAACAAGTGCGTTCAAACGCACAAAAGTTCAATCTCCCGAAAAACGCGTTTGAACACTGTTGCCGAATGCATCTGGATGCGTTTTTACAAACGCAAACGTTTACATGGGTAGCGAGTGGGTTTGATAAAATGACTCACTGTTGTTTCTGTCTCACGTTTTTGCGTGAGACGCTTACAATCGGTTCATTTGATAGAGGATTTGATTTTCTAAACAACTGCCGAACTCGATTGAATCGAAAGTATAACAAAATATTTTCCATCTTTTCAACATAATTGGACATTCGTTAAAGAAAGTTTTGTGCAAAATTCGTGGGTGGCACGGAAATATCTAATTTTGTACCTATTTTTGGTAGTCTTCTGTAAATGTTGTTTCTAATAGTGAGGCATGTGAAATTTGAGTTATTTGAGGCAACATGTGAAATGAAAATACAGTATTTAGGCTGATTTTTAAACTGCGAGTCATGGACACTGCAGATCCTTAGATGGACTTATGACAGTACATATCGGAGATCGATCAAAACCAGTACAAATTCCATAAAAACTTAAAACAGCTATTTAAGTCGGAAGACGAATTGATTTGAACATTTTTATTAGCTTTATTTTTAAAAAAAGCTGGTGCATGTTGCTATAAGTGTACCAGATAGCATATCAACGTTAAGAAAAAAAATAAAGTTCATTTAGAGTTACGGAAAAGTGCTTTTTCATATTCAGTCCACTCAGTAATCCAGAAGGCTTTCTATTTTTGACGAGTTATATTGTCAAAAATTTAAGAAATATTTTGAAGCTAATATTATTTTCCCATGGAAATATTTTTCGACAATTTGTTTTGAAGATTCTATCTAAACTTTTGGTAATATGCATCGCCAAAAAAAAGAAAATTTCTGGGTTATAGCATGTGCTGAATAGGAAAAAGCACTTTTCCGCAACTCTAAACGAACTTTATTTTTCTATCGGTGATATGATACAGATTCTCCTTGGCTTGTAGTTTAAAAGCAGTCTAAACATTTTAGTTCTTGAAGTTCCACAAATCGATTTCCACATGTGTGATTATTAATATCCACATATCAACGTTTGACATCTATATCTCCGAAACACAATGATATAATAGAGAACGATTCAATTGAGGCCAAACTAAACGACCCTTGGCTAAAGATCGTAAGAGTCAGTTCCTTGATCTCTGAATTTTGAGTGTTAATTGACCCGTTAGAAGAATTATTATTGTATTCGTCTCGAAAGAATATAGTAATAGTTTTGCCATTTGTTCTTCTAGATTTCATTGTTTACACAAGAAAGCGTCAGTAAGAGCATATACAAACAAGTGTTCAGAAGAGTAAAAGCACAAATGTATAATCTTTATCATAAAAACAACATACAAACTTTTTTCATAGAAGAGTTTAAACGAGAACAGCGTCATCTTTAATAATCGTATTATTCTTTCGTGTGTCTATATCTTTCTTTATCTTTCTCTTCCTCTTACAAGGATCTTTACAAACTACTCTTTTAATCTTTTCTGTTTGTCTAAATATAATTAACAATCTTCTTTGCATGATTTCTTTTTCTACCATCATCATACGCTGCCTTAACCAATGAAATCAGTTATTTTGTTAGAATAGGTTTTGTCTTTTGTATTTCTATACAAGTATGATATGGAAAACAGTGACTTTTTTTTTGACTGACTATACACAAAATCACTGTTGTATGCACGAATAAATTTAATAACTAGAGTTAATATACAAAACAATAAGAAATCGAAATATTCCACCTGATTAAACCTTGAAAGTATGCTCTTTTCTATTGACACAATAATATTTCTACTCAACTTCCATCACATTCCTACTTATCGCTTTGGGAATAACAGTGGCGGCGCGACAACCTTAGAGCAGGCGAGGGGTATCTGAAAACACTGGAGAAAATCTAAAAAAATTTGTTGGATACGAAAATTGCACTCGTGTACATCTCTATTAGAAATACAAAACAAAACAGGAAGCAATTTTTATACGATCAACATAGATAGTAAGCACACAATGACTTTTCTCCAAATTTTGAAAGGAACATAGTGAAGCGGGAGAAATGTGAAACAAAAACTACAAAAATTATTAACAAAATTGGAGAAAATTTACGACAGAATTTTCAAAAGTAGGAGGGGATACCTCATCTTCTTCCTGTCGCGCCGCCACTGGGGAATAACCTGTTGAGTAATGGACGGTCTATAGAAAGTTATGTTAATTGAAGAAAGAACTAGATTTCGGTAAAACAGTGATGCACTTGACGAATCCAAAATACTTTTTGTGTATGAAGTTATTACCAGCGCGATTTTTTTTCTAGTAATTCACATGCATTATTTTACTAATTTTAACAAAACTAATCCTTAGATTCATAAGCTAATCAACGTCATCAGAAGATATCAACAAAGTCTTCCTACAAGCGTTAATAAAATCAAAACACATCATACCTAATCGTGTAACTACAACCTGTCTCACACCAAAGTCTTTCTGCATTTATTTTTATTATAGGTCTTTCTTTTCTTCTTTCAGATACATATTGGCTAAATCTGCCGGCTAGAAGAATATTAATAGACGCTAGAGTTATTATCACACATGATTTGTAACAGAATGATAATGCCATTAATCATGACAGATAAAAATATGGCAGGAAAATTTCTAAGCGTAATGCTTTCAACAACTTCAATACAATGCATATATAACAATGATTCGACTCTAATGTAGTATTCCGATTCGAAAGTATTCATGTACTCAATACTGCATCTAAACAAAAGCAGAACAACTTCTGTCAACGCCAGATAGTTCTTTTATGTCAAAGTCATTGAGAGAGAAAGAGAGAGCTGTGGGCGTACTTAAGATGTATGACATAGCTTGTTATAATGAAATGGATAGTATTGTTTCTATACAGTCTGCACTCAATGAAATAATAAGCATAACAGACATGGGTAAGTACACGGTTTCTTGAGTCGATTACTGAGTATTTCAGATCGACTTTGAGTAGGATTACCAGAGAAACTATTCGTTCATTCTGTAATTCTAAGCAGAACCAGTTTCGATAAAAATTAAAAAATAAAAACAACGTCTTTAGTAGCGATACGATATAACATTAGAATCTTCTCAGATACGATTATACAATAAACTGATACTCCTTAAAAGTCTTATACGCTCGAGTGTCAAAGCGTTTCAACAGAACAAAGTTTTTTGTGTATAACTAGTCCATTTACCGGGATACAGTAAGAAAGTTCGGCTTGTTAGGCGGACATACTTGTTTTAACTAGAAGAACTATTTATTTCTATCTTAATATTGCTAAATGCCATTCCGACTATGTTAAAAAGTGAAAGAAAACTATTAATAAAAAAATTATTTCCTAGCCTATTTTTGCCTGAAGAGCGAACGAAAATTTATGCTTGAATTTAATCGCTCAGTCATCATATTCATTATATTTAGCGTATCTTTAAGCAAATCAAATTAGTAATCTGTTTCGGATATCAGTATCTTCCATCCAATACAAAAATGTAAACGTAGCACTAGAGTTTATTATTTCTTCATTACATTCTTTGATGACTTTATTACATCCTTCTTTATACAGGTTATTTTTTTAGTGAAAGTCTACTTTGTCATACTGCTTTACTTCAGACACGATATAGGATAAAAACTTTTTTATTGCTTATAAAAAGAAAAAAATTCCTGAGTTTAAACATTAAAAAGAGAGTATTTTTTTTCTTCTCTAGCATTAAGATTATGTGCACAAAAAAATTGAATTATTATTGATACAAATATGATATAAAAATAATTGAGCCAAATAAATAAACATTAGCAACAAACAATAACAATCTTATCGATTAATAAGAGTAGAAAAAACATCAGAGACTTATTGGTTGTCACCGGCGCACATAATATGAACCGTTTCTCTACTGGGAAAAAACAATACATATAACCCAGAAAATATTCTAAAAGAAGAGTAGCCTCATATTTATCTTCTTTAATAACGACAGTAAAGTAAATTTCATTCTACTTCGTTATAAATAACGAATGCCATCGTATTGCTTATGCTTCTTGAACTGACTTTTTTTTTGTGCTTTTGCAAATAAATATTGTTCATGTAAAAAGTTTTTTGTTGATCCAAAATGATATAAGACTTCTTGTATTTCATCTTGATCTAATTCATTTAAATTTAACCATAGAAGATTGTGTTTGATTATATCGTTTGTCCATCTTTCTCCTAAGACAGATAAATGACGTCGAGCGGGAATGGGAGGAGCCGGTGAGCATAATGAAGATAATGATGACATTGGTGTTTGGTAACGTGATGGTGACGATATTGTATTATTTGAGCTTGATGATAATGAGGAGTTCGATAAAATATTTACTGATGTACGTGTTTTCGGTATTTGAACCGCAGATTTTGGAGTTGTAGGCGTTGATGTACGCGATACGGTAGTAGGTAGATATGGTGGACCTGGTTTACGTACAGGTTTTGCGCTTGATATTGGTTGTTTTGCCAAGATAGATGGCGGATGCATTTCTTGTTGATGCTTTATAAATGAAGCTTGCTGTTCAATCGAAGTTGTTGCTTTTAAACGCTTAATCACCGGTTTATTCTCATTCTCACACGACGACGATGAACGTTGACATTTTACAACTTTAGTTAATGGCATAACTTTAGCTGATGAGGAAGAAACGGATGATAGTGGTGAAATTTGCATTTTTTCATTTTCACCTGTGGCTAAATAAATATAAACAAAACGAAGTAAGATAATAGATTTTTCCTAATTTCTATCAAAAAATATCTATAAATCAGAACCAAGACAGTGAGTGTACACTTTTCACCACTGATATTAGAATCGTTTTAAACTTTTAGTCTCTAGACTAAAAAATTGTTTCATTCCCTCATCAGAAAGTCCCGATTCTATCGTTTGATTTCGCATAGGATGATTAGGCTTACTAAGAAAATGAGAATATATTACTGTTAAATCAACTTACTTGTAGAATGTCTACTCATTTTTCCTTTGGCAACATTGAGTCGAACACCCATAGCTACTTCTAATTGTTGTAATCTTGATTTTAAATCGGGAAACGATTCTAAATAAGTCCATAAAAAAATTAATTAATTCACTATCAGTGATAATTGACGATTAAGCTGTATACCTGAACGAATGACACAGTTTGTAGGCATTATTCCGATCGAGTAGAACAGATTAGGAATAAAATTTAAAAAGCAGTTTCATTTCTTTCTTTTTATTTTCAACTTTCATTACGTGTATAGACCACGCTTACGCGAATCAAAGAAAGAAAGGAGAGAAAAAGAATACTGTATATGATTTATAATAATGTGTACGTGATACACAGTAGTAGTAGTAGTAGTAGTAGCAGTAATAGTTTAGTATGTTAAAAAGAGATTTATGATATATTATAATCTTGAACAATTAGCTCGAAAAAGAAATATTTCGTTGTTGATTTTTAAAAATAACACATATCGAATGACCTTAATCTAACATTTTTACAATAATTCGTTACCTACTAGAAGGGTAAATGAAAATGAAATTTATTAAATAAGAATGGCGAGATATTCTTACCTAACAAACGCGACTTTTCTACTATAATCATCGGCCATAGATCATCCGTTCTAGTTGTCTTTTTTCGCTCAGATAAAATGTCACAGATATCGCTATTAAAAACGAGTAAACTCTATTGGAAGTTCTTGCTTTAACAAACTGGAAGAACACAAACAAAATAAAAGATCTTATTAGAACATGCTGTGGCCAAAAAATCTTTCTATCATTTTTTGACTTAAGATCTCTGTTTCGACACTGAAATTTCTTGATCTATTCTTGAGTTAAGAATAAAATTCCTTCACATGCAAAATATTCACTTGGAGCAGTGTGTCTCAGTGGCAGACAACGTACTTTATAGATGTGGAGGTCGAATTCCAGAAACGGCGGTTGCGTGATAGTCGTGGACAAGCTATCTAACGCATTGTCTCAGTACCTTTGGGCCCAAATGCAATGGGATAATCCGATTCCACTGCTCATTGGACTGAAGAGATGAGAATTAAAGTTTAAAAATATTGACTTAGCAAAAGACCTGACAGTATTTCGTGAGTGAAGATGCTGATAAGAAAAGTAAAAGACATTAGAGAAGTAACGAGTTCACATTATAATTTCATGATTGATTAAAAAGAATCAAAATCCTTTCACACTACCAGACGTGTTTGACAACTCGGAGAATCGTATGACACTTTCTCCCAGAAGAGAAGACCAGAATACAATCTAAATATCCGCCTATTTTAGACTTTCTTGCTTTCTACATTTACAACTTAGAAAGTACATTTTACAAACTGAAGAAAATAGTATTAGAAACAAAGATATCTTATTTTGAATAGTACAAAAAAACTCATACTTACTTTCTTCTACCACAATTGGAGTTGTTGTATTTACCATATTTGAACGCATATCTATTTTACATTGACTAATCTTTTGATCATGCGAATACAATTAAATGGCTATCTACTGTTTACAATAGGAGAAATTTATACATATATTCTTCGGATAATTTAAGATCTAACCTTGTTTGAGTTTCTTTTTTTGTTCTCTATATTTTAAATTTTTTCTGCCAATGAACGTCATCGGAATATACCTGTAAAACAAGGTTTTCTTTGCTATTTCTCTTTTTGTTTTTGTTTGACACTCACTCATTCATCTACTATAATGATTAAGTAATACGAATAGTATATACTTTTATACAAACACAACTATACTAGTATAGAGTCTGTTATGTAGTTTAAATCACACATTCAAGATAGAAAGGTGTTTTAACAAAGGACAATTACATATGAAAAAAACATGAAAATTGTTCGATATGTATGCAGCGTTGGGGATTAAATGATCAGAGAACAGAATGCGTCTCTCACAAATTACAAGGAGGAGAATACATAATCCTCTATGATCCCTATAATTGCACGATGAGATAGAGATGGGTGAAAGATATAGTACTCGTTGTAATGTAGTTCATGTAGGTGAAAAGCGTTGTCCTCAAGTCATGCTCTTGAAACGCTATAGCGAGACGATTAAAAACTATATTGTCAAATTCGTATCGTTTTCACGACAATTAAAATTGTTTCGTTTTACGCTTACTATAAAGAAATTTTTTAACTACCATATACTTAAAATAGTTGTAACATGTTCTGATTTCTTGCAAAAGGTCTGAAGTAACGTTCATAACGGTTAAATATTTTAGATATTACTCTATCAAATGATCATGTGCATATCTTATCACCTACATGCCTAAACAACTTATTTTCTCTTTATTTTACGTATATTGGTTGGGTTTAGGTTACGAAATTTTTTATAGGTTAGATGATATGTTGCAAAAGGTTGTAATATGCAGGGCTTTACTTTCGGGTTGGACCGAATGTAACCCTGATTGACTTACGAGAAATTTAGACTAATCTGATATTGGACGCTGACATATATGTCAAAGAAAAATAGTTTTCGCTGTCAGAAATATTTCCTTTATCTTTTTCTACTCACCTTCTTGACACATAGAACCATTGTACACAGGCGCAAAATAAAATTGGACCTAATTTTTACATATATATTTTTTGATTACTGGTATGTATCGTAATTTCTCAAAGTTAATTGACTGTGAATATAATTGCAACTTACCTCTTAACATCTATGCTTCGAAGCAGACTATTATAAGGAGAAGCAACTATTACAAAATGTTATTGGTGAAAAATTTTGAGCTCTGTTTTGGCTTCTTTTCACAACAAGTGTAAATAATGAACTCGAACGTGTTTACATATCTCGTCTATGATCTTTTTTGACAATTGCAATTCTAAATAGGATGGTTTGGTAGAAATAGATACTATAATGTGCGCGTTACGGCGAATTTGCAAGAAAAATACCCATGAATAAATGAATTGTTGCACCAATTAACACATTAAATTTGAGAGAAAACACACTGTGAATAAACACTTATGCACAGTACCTTAGCAATAGGTAATTGTACAGTTGATTGATTCTGAAGTATCAGTGATACTTACATAGCACTTCTTTATCAACTCTTCAAGTAACATTATCAAGAATGAAGAATAGAGATGGTTAAACTAAAAAATCTGTCCTCAATAGAATCTAATTTTTTCAATGTAAAACATATTAGAATGATGTCAGAAGCCTGTAACACTACTTAGTTTTCTTTTATCGACGTTTCTCTTTATAATTTTGTAAGACTCTTATAAAACCACATGGTCTAGATGAATCTTTTCATGATAATTCGGAATATCATTTTTAGAATACTAAAAAACGTTGTTTTCATACAGATTGTACCTCTGAAACTGGGTCTGCACCGTCCCCCCCTCCCCCCTCAGAAGGAGTATAAAATGTGCAGAATGATTGCTCTTTCGAAAAATGTCCTTGGAAATACTTTTTGTTCATGTTTAGAGGTCGATTACGTCAAAATATCATCTAAAATTCTCGAGATTTTTCAATTTAACTTCGTATTTTATTTTTGTCATAGCCTAAAAAATCTTGTACTAATGGAAAATTTATATCACTTAGACATTTTTTCATGATATAGCGAATGGTCATCTTATGAAAGGAAACGCTACACTATTTTTGAAAAAATTATAATTTGTCCTCAAAAATGGGCGAAAATCACCGTATTTTAGCATTTTCACACGTTAAATCTGTTTTATATTCAAAATCAACGGCGATTCACGATCAGCATCCAAACTGAGTCGAACCACGAAGGTCTTATTGTTTTATCGATATTTTGACTTCAATTTTAGATTGAGGCTCAAGTCGTCCATCTCACCCTCATCTTAAATATCGTTTTTGAATCGCTTTATTATTATATTTACGCTCACCACTCTCTAAATAAAAAGGATTTTCTAGCAAACCCTTTGGGATACTAAACTCTGATATGAAACCTTTATGGATTTAGGAATAAGTTTACGCAATCTGTAAGGGTTTAGTTAAATTTTAGAAGGATTTTTTGATCAGTTTAAAAATACCTAATGGATTTAATAATTAAAGTGAAAACGAAGCAGATTCATTCTTTTTTTCTCTAAGACACGAGAGGTTCATTTTCATCTTTAACCTGTACTGGAATGTTTGTTTACTGAGAAAGCTCAACTAAAAAATACGCTTAAAATTGAAAAAGCGATCACCTTAGTCTCTAATTTTAAGCTTAGGAAACGAATTTTACTTTATACGCCAGCTACTCTCAGCCATACAACCCTGCTTCAAAGAAGCAACGAATGGCGGGTACTCTCTAAAGAAATGGTTTTTTTTAAGAAAAGTTTTGGGCTGCTAAACCCTGATACGAAAAAACCTTTCCCGGGTTTTTTACAACTTTACGCTTAGGTGCAACATACGGCTTTAACTTTGCGGTGGGATGAAAGTAGCAATCACAAGTTCGCTTCAGATCATAGATACACAGTCATCGACAATCTGTCATATCCTTACGATTGACAATAATGAGCAGTTTCTTACAGAAATTGGTCTCAAATTGTCGAATTTTATTGTTAGTTTAATCATAAATGTTTGTTAATAGCAGATGTATGCAGAAACCCAAAAAGTCATAAAAAATTTACTGATTTTGCAACAAAAAATCCAGCCAAATAAAGCAATAAATTCTATAGTAAAAAAATAAAGTATGTATGGATAATCCAATACAATAATGGTTGTACAATTCACAATAATGATTTAGGTATGCGGCTAAAATAATGCAGAATGACAAAAGAAAAGTTTGTTTAATCCTGACATTAAGAACAGTCACTAAAGTTTATACTCACAAAATAATTTATAATAACATGAACTTCGCCATGACTTCCTAACCCAAGATGAGCTGGTAGCTTCACCCAGTCATCAAAATGTCCCGAAGCAAAGACATTCTTCAAATTCACTTTTGCAGAGCCAATTGAATCCTTTCCGACAACATCATCATCATAAACTTTCAATTTCAGATGATCTTGACCTTTCTGAAGATTACTAAAAGAAACAAATATAAGCGTCGCGATGTAACATTTTCACTAGTATTAGACGATTGATACGTTCGGATAAGTAAAAGGTATTTGTCTATATTTGTTTAGAGAACTAAAAAGCGTTTCAAGATAGTTTACTGTTCCAAATGTATTCGTCTGTCACAACATAAGTCCACTCTAGGCGGGTGAACTTACGGCAATCCTATAGAGATCTTATAGACCTTATTGTGAGGAACCTATACTTCTTCTAGTTATAAGTCCTTGAGTTGATTGTATGCGTGCGTTAAGATATGTAGTATCACTCTTTTATTCGACTACTCTTTATCATACAAAAAACTAACTCCAACAGAAGAAAAACACTAATATATATATTTACTACTGCATGTACAAAGATAACAACAACAAAAGAACAAAGCGAGGAAAGAACAAAAACAGACAAGGAACAGTACGGAACAAAAGAGAGTAGCCCTACCGAAAGAAGTACGTACTGAATAGAGAGGTTGTGACAAAGAATCGTCACACTTATAAGAATCTTATATAAGACAGTCAATGGACATGCGTATTGGTAAGATTCTTATAGGCAGACATATAAGAATCTTATAAGATTGCGATAAGAATTCGGCACAACAGAAATCAGTTTAGAAGAATTCATAAGATTTTGATAAGTTAACATACTAGCTTTTATTTACGTCAATTAAAGCATCCGAACCATAGCTGCCACCTTGTTCGGAAAATCCGGACAATTTCGACTTTTTGAATCTTTTGCAGAATTTGTCTGGTGTGTACCCTGTAAGATCGATCCTACGAAAACATTGCAGGATCTTTCAGGCAAATCTCAAAGACAAAAAAAATCCTACAAAATCCTACTGTAAGATTCTTATAGGATCCTGTAGTCAGGTTTTGTAAAATCCTATAAGATCCTACTATAGGATTTTATCTGATTTTCTGCTGGTTTATTCTACTAGATTAGTGTTTTTATTTGTTTAATTATTCTCTGGTCCAGAATAAGGTGATTCTAAGCTGGAATAGACCCAAGACTTGTGAGTACTGGCTCACACGTCGTCGAGTAGTAGCGAGTTTCGATGAATCACAGTGTTCGGTGAGAAAAGTTGAGTCTAAAGGAATTTTTCATTTTCTTCAGTGGAGTTGTATTTATATTAAAATTACTGCAAAATACGTCGATGATTGTGTTCTCGTACAGATAAGAAAAGAAAATATATACAGAACGAAAAAATCGGAATCCTATAAAATCCTACACAAGATCTTACTGTGGGATTTTGTAAGAAATGCATAAGATTCCTATTATAGAATATCTTCGTATAATGACGTAGCCGAGACTTTTGAAATTGAACAAAACGTAAATGTTGGTGATACGGTACGCCCCAAAACAACTAAATCGCCTGCATACACGAGATAATTGTAATGGGGGATAAAAGTTATATACAGTTGTGTATATACTTACAAGACAAATGTTTCATTCCATACTGGAGAATTGGTGTCTTTTTTTGTTGACGTTCGTTGTTTATAATCTTTGTCAAGGTATAATTCGATGTAAGCATCATTTTGACCAAGTGAATCTTGATCTTTTAAATTTCTCCCTTCGGCTATTGTGACTTGGAGCTGTCCTTGTGCCATTAGTTTAAGATTGAAGAACAGACCCTATATTAAATGAAAAATTTCTTTCCTCTTAAAGCATAGAGCGTATTTATGATGTCGTATCTACAAATGTATAGTCAGAGTTAAATCAGTAAACCTTTAATTAGAATAAACAAATGGAAAAGAGAAGAAATTATAGATGTGTATATATGGCGCAATTTATGTTTTTATAAATGTGTAAAACAAGAAGAAAGAGCGGAAGAATTACTAATGTGATCAGAAAAAAGGAATTTATATCATTTATCTGAGTAAATCAAAGAGGTATATTCAATCAAGGTTTTATGTTGCTTCAAAAATCGCATAATAATAAAACAGAAAAAGAAAGGAAAGTTTTATTTATGATTCATAACTTTTTGGATTTTTATTTTTATTATAAGGATGACATCGTATAACATAGGTATATTATTCATGTATAAATTCCACCTTCAGATATTTAAAGTAGAACAGAAAAAGGGTATTGAGTAGATTATAGTTCTTTTTACTCGGTTACTCACTTTAATCGAAAAAATACAAAAGTCATTCAACTTTTTCTGGTGTCAGTACAATCTAGATATTGTACTGTTTAATCGCAAAATAGTCACTATGATCTAAGCAAAAGAATATTTTGATCCTTTACATATGAATGTCCATCTAGAAAGACATTATCGTACATGATAGTAATTTCTATAAAAAAGGAACGAACTGTCAAATCAAAACACTAGATTTTTTTTCTTGTGTAAGGTGATAACATAAGCTAGTAAGAAAATTTGTTGTCATCAAGTCTAAATAAAGATATACGAGTTTCAAGTTCGATTCGCAAAATCACCTTACGATAGTAAAAGGTTGGATAATTAAAATGGAAACAAATATGTATGGAAGAGGAATTAATATTGTAAAAAAACATTAAAATGAGATGGTAACAGAATAAATCAAATCTAATTTGTTCTCTAAGTAAAATACGGTCATACATATAACATAAATATACTGATTGACTTCATCACATAACTGGACATAATATGAGATCAAAATCAAATATTTGAACATTCATAATTCGAATGATTTTATTGGTAAAGAATAAATACTTGATATCTGTTTATTTCTTTTAAAACATGATTGATATTTTTTCTAGTAAAACGTTGTTAAAATAGTTTTAGTAGAAGTCGATCATCTCATGACTAAAAACATTCATTTGATATCTAAACATGTCTGCAGAATAGTTTAAAATCTTTCGAGTTAACCATACAGCAATGTGAAAAACAAATTAACAGTTTTGAAATCGATAGTTGATATTCATGACATATGTCTGTCTATATGTCACTAAACACATGTCCAGTTAAATAAAGTAATTAAAGAAAAATGACTGAATATTAAAAATTACAAGATATTCAATCAAATCGTAATGGTACTTATACATCATATGCAACTGAAAAATACTGAAACCAAAAAACGGTTCCAAGAGCAGATAGCACAAACAACAACAAAAGACATGAAATCTTACTTGAAACAACTAACAAACATATCATAGGACTAGACTTGACAGTGTATTACACGAATGCCTTATGTATAAATTATTTTATCTAAAATTACCATAATACCTAATTCAGTGGATAACAGCGTTTCTGAACGATCGAATAGCCCGAATTGAACTTGAAAGTACACTTTCAAGTAAAATTGTATTGAAAAGTGGGACACCACAGGGATCTCCGTTCAGGGTTCCCGATCAGGGAGGACAGGAAGTGCTGGTCCCTCCCTAAAAAATTTTTTGGACTTTCTGCTAAAATTTTTGACGTTTTTCCACCAGCAACTTTCTGCCAGAAAATTTCGAAAACTTTTTTTTCGTCAGCCACTTTCTGCGAAGCAAAGTTTTTAGCCCTCCCATCCCTAAGAACAATCGGAAACCCTGTCTCCGTTATCACCCGTTATTATACATATTATACACAGTTGATTCAATGACAATTCTTTCCAGCTTCACACACTACGAACTTTTTGTGAATGATGCCGCTTTATGAATCGATAGCAATACCATCGCAACACTAAATCAACGACTTTAGTCATCAGTAGATTCTTTTCGGACGGTAATTGTTTTGATCCCGTAAAAAATGCAGAACAGAGCCCGTATACTAAAATTTCGATAAAAGCAGTAGAAATGATCCCGGATTTAGAAAAAAAATATTTTCGACAGAATTGATCCCGGAAAACTTTTTTCTTTCTGCGAACAAGAGAATTGATTCCGGTTGACGTGTGTAGTAGTCACATAAGATCCTTTTTCCCAAACCTCTTCGCTGATTTTTATATACTATATTCAATTCATACTCGCATAGCGTATATTTTCAGTACTGTGAACATTTATATGTAATTGATAAACCACCAATGAATTGTTCAGTTCGATTTTTGCAGACACCTTGAGTTTTGATAAAACTTAATAAATCAGTTTCGTTTACACACGTAAAA